CGAGGCCACAGGAGGGCGCAATGAGCAAAATAATGCAGCACATTTAAATTGTCAACGCAAGGAAGTAACTCTATAAAAACGTGCATAACGTCTAAATTAACTCATAAAAATCAAATATAATTTCGTAAATTGCATAAACAATTAAGAACAAAACAGCATAATCAATTTATGCATTGCTTAATCTAAAGAGCTGAAGAGCCATTCACACAGACTGCATTTAAAAACATATGAGACGCAGTGAAAAGGGTTTTAAATTAGACTAATATTCATTCTTTATTCACAACATCCTCATCACAGGCAGGCACAACACTAATTTCAGCATGTGTTCGTGTGTGCTGTCTGCGTCACTCATAGCACGTGCCTATATCATGCACTATATCGAACATCTTTTCTATCGTTATCGAAGAAGGTGTACCGTCGATAAATATCGATACCGTTTTATCGCCCAGGCCTACAGTGGATCACATTAAGATACTGTATCCCACAGTGCAACACACAGCTTGACTCATTTCATCCAATAGCCCAAAGTTTTTACACAAAGTTAAAAAAATATATATATATTCAGGGTAAAAAAAATAAAAATTCATTCATAATTGGGTGCCACTAGCAGAGTTCAATGTAATGAGGTCCTGTGACTGGTGCATACTTCTGTTAGAAATGTTTGTGGCATAATAATACATGCTTCACATTCTGCATACTACACTATACTTTTAAATAGTGCGTGTACTAATACTTTAACATTCTGAACATAGTACAGCATTCAGATAAGACAAAAAAACAAAACTTTTACTTTATAAACCCTGTCATGGTGGATAAACACAGTCTTACTTGGCGAGCGGCCGTGGAAGTAATTATAGTATTGTGAGACATATGTGAGGATGCTGAGTCTGTCTGGGACAGGCAAAGCCACCATGTCCTCTGCATCCAGAAGAGCTGGGATTCCCAGATGATCTTCAGCCACACAGAACGCCTGCAGCACATCACAGGACACAAATCAGCCATTAAGTTCACAGCTACAACACCACATAATGGGGGGATGAATCCATACAGAAAACAACAATCTGACGACCAAAACGACGAAAGACAAGTACCCTGCGTTTATAACAACCATTGAACATGCTCATTCAAGATGACCTCATACGATTGTTTCAGGCCGCAGATATCATGCTGTGGAAACCATTTTCTAGGGGAAAGGCACTTGGCCAATTAACTGCAAACACAGACAAGGCACAAAAGAGGTAGACGTCAGAAATAGAATAGGCCAGTAAGCAGCACGATCTGGCACATCAAGACGGCCCGGGAAGGGAGCGCATAATGAATAGCACATTTCCTGTGCGCGCAGCAGCCTGGGAATGGGGACAGGAGAGGGGGATACCAGGGCATTGTTTAGGCCTGACCTGGATACACTCATTAAATTTTACAGGACAGCTGAGGAAGGGGCGGCATATCCTCCATGATGCAGCTGCAACTTCCTGCTTCTCTTCTGTGTTACAGCACTGAGGGGCTGATAGTATGAAATAAACATTTTAGGTAAATACTGGCTGGGTTTAAACAGCACACTGGTGGAAGTATTGGTATTTAAATGCACCATATTCTTTGGTGTTTAAATGCACAGATGAACTAACATTTGTAAACACAGTAGTAGAACAGAGGTAAGTTAATCCTGACAGAGAGGTGCCTGACTGTCACCCTTCTTTATAATACATTAACTGGACAGAATCCACACGGCTCGGGTTCAAACTACAGCTGACTGCGGTCTATAGAAGTGGTGAGGGTTTGTAATAGATCTCAGAGTGTGTGGCTTATAATCTACAGTCACCGAGGAAGCAACATGAGGAAGAGCTCATCATTAGGAAAAAAAGGCCCAATTGTGTCTTTCTCACCACCTCATTCTCATAGAAGCACTTCCTGACAGGGATGAAAAATAATCACTGGACGGACAGCATCCATATCCTCAAACGCAAATTAAATCTTACATGTAAAGCTTACACTATCAGAATGAAAATTGTTGGTTCAAACAATTAAATTAGGTTAACAATTTAAAAATACAAACATTTATACACACCAAGGTACCAAATATTCTCTCAGCAATCTGAAATCTACCACTCTAGAAATGTTCATAACATAAACTGAAACTTACAAATTGCCTGTGAACAATAAATAAATCAAATGATCAAAGCATAAGTGTGGAATCCATAAAAAGAATAAATAGATCCTAATCGATTTAGACTGTGTAGTAATTACTCACCGGAAAAAAAATAAAAAAATAAACTGAAACCTGAAAAAATAAAATTGGATGGTTTAGGACAATATTCTTCCCCCTTACCCAAGTTCACAGAGTACAAGCTTGAAACATTAGACGTTTCACTGCAAGGTAATGTTTGCAGAAACTAAAGGATATCTTTGTGCCAAAAGCTATGGCTGGAAGACTTGACCCATAAATAGGCTCTTTTACTGAGCAACAAGTCTCATCCATTTAAGAACTCTGTAAACATTAGATCACATGCATTTCACAAGCTGTGAGAAGAGAGTCTTAAGTGCTCTTATTCATGTCATTATGCGAGAAACAACGTATAAGTACATAAGGCTGGGTTACAAACAAACATCCAGCCAACTTGTCAAAAACAAAACGAACAACAAAAAATCAATAGTGCATTATCACGGGACTGTAGCAAACACACATCTGCACAGGATACAGCTAAAACTAACTGCAAAACACGCAAGCTATGGGTCACCCTGCATCAGGTCTGTCGTAATTTCCTATGATCAAGGCCAAACAGAATAACTTACCAAGTGGTTGTTGTAATACACATTGTCTTTGGAGAGAGACTCAAAGTTTCTGAAAGAAAACAAGGACATGAGTCACCAGACAGATAGAAACCTTGAGAAGTGTTACAATACAATGCTGATGCTAAAGTAAGCTGATGAAAGTTTAATAATAATAATAATAATAATAATAATAATAATAAGTTTTTAAAGGTCACAAAACCTACAATATTAACATTTTACACAAGTAGTAGGCCTAAAGAAAAATAACATTTGAGGCTGAGAATGAATAAATAGTGAGCGTATACTGTGACCCAACATGCCCATAGACTGTGGTCAAGACTTTGGGTTAAATATGTAAATGTTACGTCATTTGAATGAATAAAGGAAAGAATAAAACTTGGGTCACAAATTTTCCACTAATTTTTGTCTCTACTAGTTCATTCAAAATAGTCCTGTAATGAGGCATACAAATATTCCATGTAGTATCTATAAAGTCAAAAAAGCTGCATACATAAAATCACTTGAATATTGTTAGATGGAAGTAGTATATAACGGAAGAGTATGTCACGTTGCAGGATGTAAACTACCCATGAATCTGCTGGCCTACTTCCATTGCAGTATAATGAATTACAGTGGCTTTAGAAACAATTCAGCTACAGTATATTTAAAAACTAACATTCACACTTAATGTTACTCATCTGTAAACAAATCATTTTAAAGCCTAGGACTAGAACTAACTTGTCCTTGCCATTTTGGAGCTGGTTTCTAGGGGATTGTGATTTAATGGATGCATTTAAAGGGGTCATATGATGCGATTTCATTTTTTCCTTTCTCTTTGGAGTGTTACAAGCTCTTGGTGAATAAAGAAGGTCTGTAAAGTTGCAAAGACTAAAGTCTCAAATCCAAAGAGATATTCTTTATAAAAGTTAAGAGTTAGCCACACCTACCTAAAACGGCTCGTTCGAACACGCCCCCACATATCTACGTCACGATGTGGGAAGATTTGCATAACGCCGCCCAAATGTTCACGCAAAGAAAGAAGGCGTAACTTTTATTCTCGCTGTAGTATTGTTACCGCCGCCGCCATGTCCTGAAGACGCTGTGTGCTCGTTGTGAAAGCGAAACTACTTTGTTTGGTCTTCCAAAAGAGGACGATATCCGTTTCGTCATGAAAAATCGAGCGTTTCAGAAAGGCGGGGCATAGAGAAACAATAATGTACAGTGTGTGGAAAATAATGCGGTTTTTTAACTTTAAACTGCATCATTACACCAAATACACAAAATAATGTTCTTTTTAGCAGCATCATATGACCCCTTTAATGAAAGCCGGTTCATTTCTGTGTATGCTTTATAAAAATAAGTCCTTAAACTGCAACAAAAGCACATTCATTTGTTCAAGTACATTGTTTATAAGGTACTTCATAACAAGAATGACCCATATTTTCATGACACAGGCAGTGTACATGTGTAATATGTTTATGATGAAACCACAGGGGGCTGCAGAGGATGTTTACAACCATCAGCATAAATCAGTTCAAATTGTTGTTGCATGAATATGAATGTTTACAATGGTCTCTTAACAAGGTCAGACTGTCCACCTCATTTGCATAGGCGAATACAGACCCTGGGAGAGAGAGAGAAAAAAAAACCTTTAACATTCAGCCTGTTGTTTTACTTTAACAATAATAAAACAGATATATATTCCTTTAAATGGTCTAAACTTTACATAATAAACATATCTACAATTAACAGCAGTTTCTTTCATTTACTCAATTATAGTCTCTGTGTTACATAAAAAGTAACTAAGAAAAGTAATTAGTTACTTTTTTATGGAGTAACGCAATATTGTAATGCATTACTTTTTAAAGTAACTTTCCCCAACACTGCTCATAGACTGTTCTGATCAAACAAACCTGCTTAATCTCAAGACAAGATGCCCTTAAACTCAAGAGGACCCTGTTGCCCAGAGGAGGGCACTCTTACTCCACACTGGCTCAGAGAACTAAAGACTAATGCAATTTCAGGCTCTTCAACACCAGCTTTGGTCACACAAACATTGCATGAAGCTGATTTTTCTGCTGATTCCACAGGAAATTCCCTAATTGAGAACTTTTACATTCATTTGACATGAAGCAGGCACTCTGTCCATATTTTCAGATATACCAGCGGTGTCCTGCATTTCACAAGTTCTCAGGGGTTGCAGTTCTGAACAAACATTTCCCAGGATTATCTGAAATGGATTTAAACAGATAGTCCACTCAAAAATATAAATTCTGCATCATTAATCAAACAGTTTCAGGTCCCATATTTTATGTCCATACTATGGAAGTCAATGGGACCCAAACCCTGTTTGGCAACCAGCATTCTTCAAAATATCTTCTTCTGTGTTCCACTGAAAAAATAAGTCAGTCATACAGGTTTGGAACAACATGAGGGTAAATGACGACAGAATATTCATTTTATGGTTGAATGGTCCCCTTAGGTAGCAAATTTTCTTGAAAAACATGTAAATGTTAAGCATGAAACATGAAATTAAAAAGTGATTTCCAAAAGCATGCAATAATTACAGTATATGAACAAATGTTCAGCACAACTAGCATCTATTGTGGAAAAAAGTACATATGTAAAGTGTGTTGCAATCTTTAAAAAGCACCTTTTGTCAAAAAAGGCAGTCATTTTTCAGCCGTCCCTATTGTGTTTATGGAGGGCTTGTGGCAGCTTGCAGACATCCTGTGTTTTCATGCAGGGTAACAGGATAGCTGATAGAGGAGCTGGCCATCGATGAGATCACCACGAGCTACCTCTTTTAGCTCCTCTTGTTCACTAGCTGTCAGTCCAATAACATTTGAGAAAACTAGCTTTGGAAATGTCCACTGTAGGCATAAAGTGAAGCAAGCAACATCAAAAAAGTTTTCAAATTTGTTTTAAAGGCTGTATATAAATTGTTGCTTATAATAATTAAAGAAAACATTTAAAATTAAGAAAAGAGTATACATTTAACTTCACATTTGTCTGTATAATAAAAAAAGTATTATTATGAGTTGATATGGACCCTTTTCAAAGATTGAGATGACGTTTTTCCACAGATATTTTTTTTAAACATTTAAAACATTTATTACACTATAGGATGTGTTATATTAGACTGGCATTAAATTACATAAAAATGAACACTGCTGGGTGTTTTTAACACAACTGCTGAGGGAATGACGGCAAATTTGACATCTTTCTCTCTTCTGAGCAAAGTAATCGGTCTCGTTTTTTTCCCCTTGTATGTTAAGCCATAGAAACACTATCATGATTATTTTTATTTTATTTTTTGCTATTAGGGTAAATGGGAACACACAATTTAAAAAAAAAACATTTGTTGTAGTTTCTGTTCATCCACCATAGAAGTTTACCCAACTACGATGACTTCTACTTCTGATAATCCCGGAAATTTGAAAAGGGTCCATTGGTTTCACAGATAAGACATGACATTGTGACAATCTAAGAAGCAAAAAAAATTGTGTGAAGAAATGTGTGTTTCGCTGCTCTCAGTCACATTGTTTAACCTCATTGCTTGTGTAATTGTGCATAATAATAAATAATAAACTGAATGGGATTTCTAATGTGTTCTGTGTGATTCTGAGGTAATGTATAATGGCTGCATCTGTTTCAGTCTCTGTCCAGGCCTGTGGCAGATACCTGTGTCTTCATCTGCTTCTCTCTGCTGGCCTTGGCCACAGTGCTGTGGATCTCTGCCTCATAGTCCCTGGCCTTCGCCCTCAGTTTGGCAATGCTACAGCAGCGGAAGTCCTCTGGACTGGGCTCCTCTGACCCCTCCTGATCTCTCGGCCGCTGATGCATGTCGCTTACGGGGCTGTGGATAGCTGATGAGGACGGTTTGGACCAAGTGGGGCTTCCTTTCTGGTGTTTGCTGTCCCAGCCTGGGCTGCTGCTGCTGTGGAGCTCTGGAGCTGTGCTTCTGCTGGACGAATCTACCTGTCTGTCGTCACTGTCGCGCCGGCCGCACTGCTCTCCTGCCTGGCTCTGGAGCTTCATCTGTCTGCGCATTTTAGCCCTGCGGTTTTGGAACCACACCTATGGGAATAAAGGGAAAAAATACTGTTTTTGTTTTTGTTTTGTATTGTGTGTTAGATTCAATTCTGCAAATTTTCACAGTATTAGTATTGATATTGGTCTCGTTATTCTGTTTGCTTCTCAAGTAGATTTTTCGTATCTTAAGAATTGTTAGTGGAAAAAATATGAAAATGACTTGTTTAAAAAATCTTTTGGAAAATCAAAACTCATGAAGAAAATCTGAATAGTTTTTTCCTTATTACAGTTTTGCTTCTCAAGCAGATTTTTCTTTTTCAAAGTTTTTTTTTTTTTTGTAGAAATTATATAAAAAATAACTCAGAAAATCATTAGGAAAATCAAAATTCATTAAGAAAATCTAAATAGTTTTTTCCTCTTTCCAATTGTTCTTGTAAAGTAGATTTCATATATTTTTACTAAAACAAATATTTGATATATATATATATATATATATATATATGAAAATCATTAAAAAAATGTAAATTCATTGAGAAAATGTATTTATTATTATTAAGTAGATTTCTCTTATTTTAAGAATTTTTAGCAGAAAAAAATGACTTTTAACTCATTTAAATTAACTCATTAAGAAAATCTAAATAGTTTTTTTGTTCTTTTTTCAGATTTGCTTCTCAAGAGTTCTCTTCTTTAGTATTTTAGTAGAAAAATATACATAGAAATGACTCATTAAGAGAACCAGAGATTAAGAAAATCATTAGGAAAATGCTGATTTAAAAAAAAATTCTTAGTTTTTTTTTTTGCTTTGTCTCTCAAATAAATTTATTTTAGTTAAAAAAAACAGAAAAAAAGAAAAAAAAAATTATGATGTCACTACAGCATTTCCTCACTGAAAATGTTAGGGACAAAACAGCACTTTAAAGAAGAACAATGCTGCAAATTTTGAAAAAATTAAAATACAAAGAAAAAAATAATGATAGTAATAATCTTAGCAATGGTTCAGAGAAATATTTAGTAAATATTCATATTATTTTGTGCATCACAACAGTCAAAGAGAG